AGGGAGGGAGGGAGGGAGGGAGGGAGGGCCTGACATGGGGCAGGTTGGTTGTAGCGGATCCCTTCGATGGTGAAGTTGGCCAAGGGGTCAGCAGACCAACTGCGAGGAGGCAGTGAGAGAAGGAGGAGACGAGGCTCGATGCAGACATGCAGTAGTCAAGAACCGTCGAGTTGTACTCATTGACTGCAGATGCGTCTGCTCCATTCTGCTCAAAGACACAAGTGAGATGGACAAGAAGATGAACGAGAGGGGAAGAAAGTCACGAGCCTTCAAGAGAAGTTCAACGATCTCCTCATCTCCGTTGTAGCTCGCCAAGTGACTGCACAAATCCATCATCTTATCCTTCACTTGGTGCTGCGAGTGTGCCCTCACAGAGCTGTATCCCCGTCAACGTTCCTGTAGTTGATATCCACTCCCTCCTCCAGCAACTCCTGCACAGCCTCTAGCTGGACTTGAGATGGTCAGACATGGAAGGGATGTGATAGGACTGACGTTCTGCTGCTTGGCAGCGAGAGAGAGAGCTTCACCCTGCTCGACGTCAGCTGGAGGCGACAGATGGAGCCTCACCTTGAACGAGAACCCGCGAGGGAAGCAGTTGGAGATCTTGCCCTCCTCGAAGATCTGAGGCGATCAAGTCAGTGAGAGGACGAGCTGATTGTGCAAGGCCTCGGGGAGGGAAAGGCAAAGGGAGAGGGCGAGGCTCACATCGAGTCTGTCTCCGAGGGTATTGGAAGGAGGCCTACACACGCGTCAGACCTCTGAGCTCGCCGTTAGGGTTTAGGGTAAAGGAAGGGTTTAGGTAAAGGGTTTAGGTAAAGGGTTTAGGTAAAGGGTTTAGGTAAAGGGTTTAGGTGAAGGGTTTAGGGTTCAGTCGCTTGCAGGCATCACCTCACGGCTGTGCCGTTGTGGACGCACTGGAAGAATTCTTGCAACGAGGTCGCTTGTTGAGCATTCTCGAGTTCGTGCAGCTCGTCGATTACCTCCTTGATCTCAGAGTTGGCAGTGAGGTCGTAGAGAGAGTCCTGCCGTTGAAAGTCAGAGTAGATGCTGCTGCTCCTGCTCCTCCCTCCTCCCCGTCCTCCTTCCTCCTGGCCCTGGTCTTGGTCCTGGTCCTTTACTTCCTCCTCCTCCACTCTGCTCCTCACTGCTGCTCCTGCTCCTGCTCATTCGACGTCACCTGTCCGGGGAGAGGGTTCAAGAACATCTCCTGCGGCTTCTTCCAGTGCCTGAGAGCAGAGCTCACAGCGGGTCTCAAGGAGGAAGAGGGAGGGAGGGAAAGAAGGGAGGGAGGGAGAGGGCAAAAGCGACTCACTCAACGACGGGGTCGCGGGTCGGATCAACTTGCTCGAACATCTGGAGGAAATTGGACCTGTGAGGCTTCAGGCGCAGGTGCAGAACAGGAGGAGCTGCCACTTGAACTTCTCCCGCGCGATGTTGGCGAGCTGTCGGTTGCTCAGCTTCTTCACCTTCACTCTCTTGGTGCTCTCGTTCCCTTTGACCCTCCTGGAGTCGAAGAAATGAAGCTTCAGCACTACCATCAGGAGGAGGAGGACTAGGAGGAGAGAGGAGAGAGGAGTGAGGGGTGAGGAGAGAGGAGAGAGGAGAGAGGAGAGAGGAGAGAGGAGAGAGGAGGGAGGAGGGAGGAGGGAGGAGGGAGGAGGGAGGAGCAGCAGCAGCAGCAGCAGCAGCCGGAACAGACATGTTATTCGGCTTGTGAATCATCGTCGTGCCTTCCCGAGAAAAATTTCCAATCTGAACAAGTTGCAATGTGAGAAGCCCGAGGGAAGCAACGGGATAGACAGCTACCCTCGTCTGAGATAGACAGCTACCCTCGTCTGCGATAGACAGCTACCCTCGTCTGCGATAGACAGCTACCCTCGTCTGAGATAGACAGCTACCCTCGTCTGCGATAGACAGCTACCCTCGTCTGCGATAGACAGCTACCCTCGTCTGCGATAGACAGCTACCCTCGTCTGAGATAGACAGCTACCCTCGTCTGCGATAGACAGCTACCCTCGTCTGCGATAGACAGCTACCCTCGTCTGAGATAGACAGCTACCCTCGTCTGAGATAGACAGCTACCCTCGTCTGCGATAGACAGCTACCCTCGTCTGAGATAGACAGCTACCCTCGTCTGAGATAGACAGCTACCCTCGTCTGAGATAGACAGCTACCCTCGTCTGAGATAGACAGCTACCCTCGTCTGAGATAGACAGCTACCCTCGTCTGAGATAGACAGCTACCCTCGTCTGAGATAGACAGCTACCCTCGTCTGCGATAGACAGCTACCCTCGTCTGAGATAGACAGCTACCCTCGTCTGCGATAGACAGCTACCCTCGTCTGCGATAGACAGCTACCCTCGTCTGAGATAGACAGCTACCCTCGTCTGCGATAGACAGCTACCCTCGTCTGCGATAGACAGCTACCCTCCTCTTGCCTCTGCTATCCCTTCCTCACTTCCTCTCTCTCACGCGCACGCACCGGCCATCGCGCAGCTGCAGCAGACTTTCCTCCTGAAGCTTCGAGAGCCATTCGCACTCGTTTGCCTCCGCCTGTCAAGGCATCAGCGAAAAGAGCTCAGAGGCAGCAGAATACGATGAGATCGCCCTCCCGCTAGCCGCTGCAGCACAAGGATGGAGAGGGAGGGAAGCTTCCTGCTGCACATGCTCCTATCAGCACCTCCTCTCCCCCCCTCCTCGCCTCGCCTCGCCTCGCCTCGCCTCTCCTCTCCTCTCCTCTCCTCTCCTCTCCTCTCCTCTCCTCTCGTCGCCTCGCCTCTCCTCTCCTCTCCTCTCCTCTCCTCTCCTCTCCTCTCCTCTTCTATCCATCTCAGTGCTCTGTCTTTCACCTGATCGCAACTCGCTGGCCAGGACCCAGACATCCTCCTGCTCGCTCGCTCCTCCATGTGACAGACGTGGAAGGCCCCCTCTCACCTCCTCCTCCTCCTCCTCCTCCTCCTCCTCCTCCTATACTCGCCACCATCGTCGCCACAGTAATCGCAAGCAAGACTGCCTTCATTGCGACTGCTCGCGGGTGCCCCTCATACCGTCAAACAATGGCGACCCCACAAACTAACATCCGAACCAAGGATGGGGAGGGGGGGGGAGGAGGAGAAGGGAGGGAGGAGAGGGCGCTAAGCTTGGAGCTGAAGAAGCTTGTGAGTTCCTTCTCCTTCCCTTGCTTGCGTCTCTCACTTGCCGCAAGTTCACCAACGAGCGGTACTTCCTCCTCCTCCTCCGCTCGCTCCTTTCGTACCCACTGTGCCAGGCCTTGCCCGTCATTGAGCGCTTCTCTCGCGCCATAGAGTATGGAGTGACAGTGACGGAATCCCATGGCTGCGCCGTCATGCAGCGCCGGCAGGGAGGAGGGGCGTATGTGTTGAGCTTGGGTTCGCTGCCGACGCGTCTGCTGGCGAGGGGAGTGGACGTGCTGTCGAGGCCCTTGCGACTTATGCTGGAGGAGGCGGAGGAAGATGACTTGCTGCTCTCCTCTCGTCTCAGTCTCTGCCTCCTCACCGCCATGAGCGTCTTGTCTCTCGCCCCTCCCTTGGCCGAGCTCCTTCTCAGGGTGAACTCCTAAGAGTAAGGAGGGGTCTGACCCTCCAGCAGGAGACCAACGTCGTCTGGACCCTACTCGCTCTGCGGCAGCTCAGGTCTCATCCTCTTCCTCCCGTCCAGCGGCTTGAGACGGCCGTTGCTGCTGCGCTGGACTCGCTCATGGCGGTGATCCGTTAGCTCCTTGAGAGTCGCTCATACCAGTGGCAGGTTGGATGTCGAATGCAAGCGACGGAGGAGGAGGAGGAGGAGGAGGAGGTGAAGGGTCAAGCAAGAGGAGAAGAAAGCAGGGGAAGAGGCGAGGGAGGAGAAGGAGGGGGGGGCGGCAGCTTCGCAGTAGGTTTGTACAAGGAGCGCGAGTGGCTGCAAAGCGTGCATGTGCTGTTTGCTTCGGCGTTGGAGCATGCGGAGTGTGTGGTGGTGCTGGAGTACGAGGGGATGAGAAGAATGGTGAGTTCCGGATCATTGTCTCCTTCCTCATGCGCTCTCAGGCGATGCAGCGATGGCGCCCACAGCTCGTGATGTTTGTCGAGAGCGAAGTGATGGGGAGCTGTCTTTGCTATTCTTCTCCTCTCCTCCCTCCTCTTCCTCGGATCCAGCTGGCATGCCACATAACCTCCTGGTACTGCCGATGCATTCTCTTCCTCCTCCCGCTCGCCCCCCGTACGGACGAGCTTTCCGTGCTGGTGAGAAGTTGATAGCAGGACGCGAGCTGAGAGACAGCAGGTGCTGGGGCTCGGAGGAGGCTTCATGCCTGGCTGGATCCTGACCCATCTGCCGTCGGTCCGTGTGCACGTGAGACGATGAAGAGAAGAGGAGGGAGGGGAGAGAACGGAGCAGCGTACGATGAAGAGAAGAGGAGGGAGGGGAGAGAACGGAGCAGCGTACGGAGGAAGAGAGGAGAGGAAGGGAGGAGGGAAGGAGGGGAGGAGAGGTGAGTCATGCGGAGCCTCATGACTTCCATCAGGTGGTTGAACGGGAGCCGCTTCTTCTCCTCCTCTCGCGAGCTCTCTTCGGCCTGTCCGAGGATGAGCGCCTGTCTGTCTCTACGGGTGACGCCTGGGAAGTGCTGGAAAGATGGACAGAAGAAGCACAAACACAAACACAAGCAGGTGAAGGTGTGAGAGGGAGGTCGAGCTCAAATTCACGGTAAGCAGTCAAGGAAAGAGAGGGGGGGCTGACGTTGATCAGGTTTGACTGCATCATCGTCGACATCCCTTTCGACCTTTCACAGCTCGTCCCTCTCTTCTCCCTCCTCCGTCTCCTCCGCTCCTCCTCCGTCTCCTCCAGGCATTCGCTCGGTGGTCTCCTGCTTTTCAACCTTCCACACCACCGCCCTGGTACAGAGGCTCAACTCAGGACTGTCTTGAAATTGATACAGAAGGAGGAGGAGGAGGAGGAGGAGGAGGAGGAGGAGGAGGGTCTGTTTGCGGATGTGTGTGGAGGAGTGACTTGCCTAGTGCCTCGGGAGGGCAGCGGGGCTGTTCTCGTCAATCGGAGACTGGGAGACTGGGGGATCGGATGGGGGGAGGCGTGCGAGGCGATGGGGATGAGACCCTGCTCGCCAAGCTGCTGCTACTTGAGGAGAGAAGACGCGGGTCGAGGAGCAGGAGCAGGAGCAGGAGCAGGGGCAGGAGCAGGAGCAGGGGCAGGGGCAGGGGCAGGGGCAGGGAGAGGAGGTGGATGTGGTGGGTGGGACCTTAGCACTGTAAATAATGTCATTGAGGAGAGCAAATTGTTTCCAATGTGAGTGTTGGCGAACGAAATTTCATAGCTTGCTCTCTTTCACTCGTCCTCCTCCGCCTCCCCTTCCATCTCCCATTCCATCTAACTGCAGGCCCGAACGGCTTTCTCAATCTCTTGATGAATAAATTCCTTGTTGCCCAGCAAGTCGATTGAGGGGAAAACGGCCTGCGAGGAGTGAGGGGATGAGAGAAGAGAGGAGACGAACAAGCAAGGGGAAAGTGAAGAGGACGAGGACGAGAGGGGGGAGAGCAGGGAGCAGGAGGAAGAGCAGCAGCAGCAGCAGCAGCAGCAGCAGCAGCAGCAGCAGCAGCAGCAGCAGCAGCAGCAGCGGCTCACCAGTAGTTTCTGCTTCACGTCTCTTCTTGTTAGCTCGTTCAGATTCGCTTCCTTGACGATCCTCCCGATGGCTCGCGACATGTCTTGCTCCGTCACAACCTGATTGACTGCTTTACCCTCACCCCCTTCTCACCACTCAAGCACCCCCACCCCCTTCTCAACACTAAAGCACCCCCACCCTCTTCTCAACACTAAAGCACCCCCACCCCTCACCTTCACTTTCACCGTCTCCTTCGCTTTCTCTTGCTTCTTGGCTTCCTCAACCTTCCTCAGCCGCTGAGCCTCCTGCGAGTTAATGAGCCCCTCTTCCTCCTGCTCCTCCTGCTCCTGCTCCTGCTCCTGCTCCTGCTCCTGCTCCTGCTCCTGCTCCTGCTCCTGCTCCTGGTCCTGCTCCTGCTCCAGCTCCT